GCACATACTGAATATTGATTCTGCTCTTGTTGCAAGTGTGTTTATCTCCATTGCTAATGAAAATATTTTTGTAACATGCAAAGATGTATTTACAAATTCCGTATTATTGATTTTTCTCATACTGCAAACAAATTTATCTCTTTGTTAATGAATATATATCTAGGAAATAGTAAGATTAATTTATGGAGAAAGGTGTGGGGAGGAAGGGAGGTGGTATCAAGTTGGGGAGAATATTCTTGGCCACAGCTGAAGGATACACGGTAGGTCTTCCTGGAGATGCATGCTTAATTAGAGGAAAGTGTTCTCAGAGGAAAGAGGTGCTTACCAAGTCCTTTTGAAAGACAATGTGATGTGCTCAAAGGTGTCAGCTACACTTTCAGCTTGGGGAAATTTCAAAAATCTGTAATCCAGGTCAGGAGATACAGAGAAGCAGCTTGCATTGGTCCCAGCTCAGTTTTGGTAGGACACACTTGAGAAGAAGATATTGGTTTAAATGTAAGGTTGGAGGAGACGGTAGGCTTTGTCAGGAGAGAATTCCAACACAAAATATTATCGAAAGCTGAAGTAAGGAGATAGGAAGCAAACAGAAGTGGGGCTTCCGGGGTACACAGGCTTGCACCATATTTCATGAACCATTGCAAACTTTCGTGGGCAGCCTGGGGCTGATGCTGTTGAAGCCATTCTTCTTGAGCAGTTTCTTGCCTAGGAACTCATTACTTTGCCAGGGTAGCCTCTGCAAGGCTGTTACTATGACGACCCAGAAAGCAAAGGTCCAGATTGCCTGCCAGAGGAGTTTTCGTGTCTCTGTGCTCATCCTGGGTTCAGACTTCTGCAAGTCATCCCTTTAGGTGTCCTGAGTGCCTGAAGCGTGTGCTGTTGACAAGGCAGCGGATTGTGGGCTGATGGGGGAGCATTTGCAGGTACCTTGGCAGCAAGATGGAAACAAGAAGGGCCATAGGCTTCTTACTGCAGAGACACATGGGCAGATGGGGAGGTAGGTTCCAATCACATGAGCCTGGAAGCTTAGACATGCGGCTTGCCCATGCTTGCTTCCATCCAGGTATGACTACCCTGGCCTGTTACCCATGACTCCTTCACATGGGCCCAGTGCTCCAACCGTTGGAACTACTGATGGTAGGCAGTCTACTAGAAGTTTATTAAACATTAACTGTGTACCAGGTATGTCTGTGATCATTAATCTCCACCAACCCTGTGAGTTGGGAATGGGTTATAAATTCTAAGGCCTTAGAGATTAAATGACTTTCCCCATCCATGGTTCTGGAACTTGTGTGCATTAGAGTCACCTTGAGGGCTGTGGAAACACAGACTGCTGAGCACCACCCTCAGAGTTTCTGACTCAGTATGCCTGGAGTGGGGCCCAGGGATTTGTATTTCTCATCAGACCCCAGGTGCTACTGATACTGCAGCTCTGAGAATCACACTTTGAGAGCTACTGGTCTCTGTCAAACAGTGTAGACCTTCAGAGGCAGTATCCACGCTCAGGACTTCCAGATTCCATCACCTATGTCTTTTTAGCTGACGTGAATTGCTCTCTGGTATGAGTCTCAAATGAGCCACGTGTTTTCATTACTTGAATGCCTTCTCAGGTAATATCTTTTCTTCCAGGAACATCCTACCCCTTGGTTCTCCATGTGGCTGCCTCTACCCATGTTTTCTGATTCAGCTTAATGTTTCTTCTTCTACGAAGCATTTGTTTAGATCCTACCCCCAGGTTAGCTACTTTTCTGTGCTTCTGGGGTCCCCCATACATACAGACCTGCATTTTAATGTCTATCACGTTGTTTGGTCACTGTTGCTTTACTTCTCTGACCACTCGCCCCTTGATGGTGCCTGCCACATATTTCTTGCTCGGTGTGCACTGTGCTTTACCTAGTAAATATTCAGGAACTGTGGTGAAATAACTGGTTGAATGACATCAGTGAGTTGCATCATGCATGTAAGGTTAATAGAGACCACACCACAACACCTGTGATGGGTACATCTCCTTCATCTCTCTGTGGTGCTGGTACCTGGACACTTTGTATCAGTTGTTCCTGAAGAGACTGACTTCGGAAAAGTTCTAAATTGAGTGTGCCGCTAGCATAGCCTCCTCCTGGTAAAGCTTCTCTCACTTACTTGAAAGGGCATCCTATCTGACTTCAACATCTGTCTTCCACTGACTGCCAGTATTGGCTTGGCAGTCTGGATGCCTGGCTGTCCCCATTCTCCTTTATTCCTCTCCGTGTGTCCCTTCCAAAACTGTGTGCTGTTACAAGAGGATGACTTTCTCAGGGAGATGATGGCTTTGGTGGATGAATAGTTGGGCCCCTCTGTTCAAAGCCCCAGATACCCTTCTATAAGTTTATTCAACCTGGAATAAGATGGTAGTGCCTGCTGTGCTGGGCATTAATGAACCTGGAAACCTTTGTTGAAAGATGGAATGCATGTCTGAGAGGAGAGAGATCTCTCTGCACAAATTTGTGGCTATTAGAGGTGATGGATGCATGGAGGCTATGGCCATGGGTCTGAGCAGTAAGATGCAAAGAAGATGGGGGTGGCATTTTGGGGTGGGAAGAGTGAGGTCAATTGGAACAGAAATGAACATGAAGCCATACACATTTGGGCTGCCTGCTTGTTATCCAGAGACATTCCCTGAGCTTCTGGCCATGGGCACCTTCATGAATAATACCAAGAGGAGAGAGAAAATCTCCATTTCAAATGTGGGGATGAAACAGTGTTTGGAGCTCCCTGGCAGTTTACCCATTCATTCCACACTCATGGAAACTGCAGTAATTTAGAGCAGCTCAGTATTTAGACTCAACTGTGTAATTCATCCTGATGTTTCTCATTCATCAAAGCCTTGTGTTTGTTTGTATTACCATGAGAAATTTTTTTTTTTAATGTGGAGAAAAAAGATCCCCCTCCTTTCATTACAGGCAAATTACGGCAGAGTTACAACCCTTGGGGCCCTTCAGGCAAAGGAACATCTTGCTTCAGTTAGATATAAATAATGAACAATAATTAGAAAGATTTCTTCATCGAATTTGTTATTTTATGTTTCCTTTCATCTGTAATGTATTGAAACAAATACTGAACTCTGTTTCTGGGCCACATAGCAGGGACATAAGGAATGCTATGGCATGTGTCTCCAAAGCAGAGGGAAGCATCCACAGCTGGCCCTTCTGTGTGCTGGCTGGGGAGGCTGCTGTCAGCCCTGGGTCCAGAGTCATGAATGTGAAAATGAATCTCCTTCAGCTCCAGTCCTTCGAATTCTTATAGTCTACTGAGGACTCAGAGTAATCACTACTAGTTACCATCAGGGACTGCTCTGGGAGGTGACCAGAAATCCCATTTAATCCTCATAGCAGTCCTCTGCAACAGGCTCTGTTTCTATCTCCATTTTTAAAGAATTTGGAAACTGAGTCACAGCTAAGTTAACTAAATTTTCTAGACCAAAGTGTTGGTTGTAGGGGACAGACAAGCAAGGTAGGTAGTCGGACTCCAGAGCCCTTGCTTGTCTCTGCTCTGGCATGTGGCTCTGTGAAGTTCCGGTGAACTCATACTGCCACAGAAGCCCACAAGGTGTGGAGAGGGGATAGGGAGGCTGGGGTGGGGATAGCTCCCCAAGGAAAGAGGCAGCTGTTGGCTGGTGGATTTTCAAGGGGCTTGTAGAGGTGTTGTTAGAGGAGGGAGATATTCTAGGCAGAGGGAGCACTGTGGCCTGGTGCCACGGTTGGGGAGTGTGTGGGATTTCTCATTTCAAGGCTGGCTATGGTGCTGTGTGCAGGTGGGGAGAACAGCCAGAAATGAGACCAGAAGATGGAGCGTTGTATAGATCCAGTTGAGAGACTGTTGTCTTCCTGTGGAAACAGTGACTCAGAGAGAGGGAGGGATGGTGATGTGGGTTGATAAAGAGGAGAGACTGAGATTTTTAGAAGAGAAGTAAGTAAAGAATGATCAGGTTGGAACCCAGAGAGAGGGGCTGGCTCCCCACTGGGCTTTTTTATTTTGCAATTCTGTTTGGTACATGGCATTCTCTCAACATGCTGAGCCTGGTACGCTCTTCTGAGACAAGTAAAATCTTCATAGCAATTCGTCCTTCCTGCTGTGTCTATTCATCCTTCCCCAGAGGAGTCTCCTCCTCTGCTCCTAGCTCTGAATTCTGCTCTTGAGTCGGCTGTTGGGCTGCCGATGGCCGTTCTTCATGAGTTCCCCACTCCAATGTGCACCTGCCGCTCCTCTAAGGACAGCAAACCCAAGGCCCCCAGAAGTACTTTGGTTTTTTCATCATCTTTTAAATAATTGCCAACATTTTCAAATCAGGAGAGATTTTAAAAACTTCAATTTTCTTTATTTTTTCAAAAATCAAATTGGTTGGGGAGGTCATGGGGAGGGAAGCATTTGAAGTCAATAATTGGCTAGACCACTAGCTCAGCTGCAAGCTTTGGAGGGGAGGCCTCTTAATTTACCCTGAGTGAGTTGGTCTCTGAGTGCATTTCTTCCCCTTGCTGTCTCTGAGTGTCACGGGCCAGCCATCATTAATGTCCATCTTGCCAACATAGGTCTCGTTCCTGCCCAGCCTCTGCAGGTGTCTGAGTTGGAGATCCACAGCATACAGCCTCTCATGTTGTCCTGACTGTTTGATACTGTGATTCTCTGTCTATACGTCTGCTTCTATAGCTGGATTGTAAGCTACTTGAAGGCAGGAATCATGTCTTACTCATCATTTTATCCCTCTAGTTCAGTAAAGAATCTGTTTTTAGGTGCTCAGTGATCTTATTGAATTAATCCACATTGAGAAAACATACCTGTAATCGAATGAGGCCCTGCAAGTCCCACTCCGGGATGAGGGACTTGAACTTTTGGGCATGGGGAGTGGAGAGTGTGGATAGTGGGCCATGAAGGGCTTGGACTTCAGAAGAGCCTTGCAGCTCATTTGTATCCTTGCAGTTTGCAATGCACAGCATGTACGCACGCCTCACTGCCTTTCTACATTTCAGGACTTTCCAGGACCTGTCCAAACAAGTGGAGATGTCATATGGCACCGTCCGGGATTCTGCCGTATATGAGTACTTCCGAGCCAAGGGCACCAACCCCCTGGAGCAGGACAGCACGTTTGCTGAGCTCTGGCGGACCATTAGCAAGAACGGAGGGGCTGACAACTGCGTGTCCAGTCCTTCAGAAGGCATCAGGAAGGTAGGCAGGAGATGTGCTATGACAGGGCCATGGGGTGGTCATCCCTCAGGTGCAAGACACCTCCAGGGGCATCTGCCTCTGAGGAGCCCTGTCACCTGCAGGGCAATCCATTGCACACGTTCTTTAGGTGGATGCCCCTTCTGGGCAGCAGAAGCAGTGTCTGCTCCTTAGGGACCTTCCGAGTTTGCAGAGTGGTGCTGGCTGGGGAGGAGCAGACAGATTAAGCCCAACCCTTGGCCCAGTCTCCTCAGAGACTCATAGGAGGGTGGTACTGAGAGGCCTGTGCACCCTAGGTGAGAACACTTGGCAAAAGCAGAAGCAGAGTACCAGGCAAGAGATGCAGGAGTGAAAGAAGGGTGTTGGGGAGAGGGTGGGCCCACTGTGGGCTGGCCTGGGGGTCTGGTTGGGGAAGTCTGCACATGGAAAGGGTCAGCCAGGTGGGCTGGGCTCATCTCTGGGGCTGTACTCTGAGAAGAGGTGTGCCTCAGAGATGGGGGTAAGGGCAGAGAGCCTGAGACAGAGCCTGTACTGGGCAAAACTTTGGGAGAACAAGTGGGAAGATCCCAGGGCCAGAGGCAAGAAGGGAGGAGAAAGGCCATGATGCTCTTCAGCAGTGTTAGACATTGCTCATTTGTTTCAGTCAATTTCCCACAGTGACTCAGATTCAGCGTTATTATCCTCTTATACAGCTGAGGATTGAGTGGCTCTGACTATGACTTCTTGGGTTCCAAGCTGGGGAATTGGCATTTATCCACCATGCAGCTATAGATCCCTTGGAGGTCAATGAAGCGAAACGTGGTGGGATGAAGGCAGGTATTATGATTTTGCTGCTGGCGGTGGGGTCCTCCTGTCCAGTGACCCCCACATGCGATGGCTGCTGTCCTGAAGCCATTAGAGAATGGGGCGAGAGAGATGTACAACTCCCTGGCCAGCACCGCTGCCTCTTTGAATAGACTCCTCCCATCCTTCCTCTCCCTGACCCATCCCTCCACCTCTGTAGGATCTCCTCATGCATACCCTCACAGTAGCACTCACACATTGTCATACACATACACACATACTCACACTCACACATACACACTCATTTCTGTGCTGCCCTCCAGCCACTCCAGTAATTCCTGGCCTTCCTGCAGAGCAGTGGATGTCAGGACAGCCTGGGGCAAGCTCTGGGGTCACTAAGGCCCACCACCCTGCCCTTCATGGTCCTTAGCAATCTGCCCGCCCCTCCCTGATGTGTCCCAGGGGGTCTGGAGAGAGAGTCCCCCTTTGCTTTGGAAACACATGGGCATCAGGCAGAGTGCAGCCTCTATCCTGTAGCAGGCTGGGTGTGGTGCCATGTAGAGTGAGGCTCGCTGGGAAGGCGGTCATGCACAGGATGACTTGTACAGGATCCCATGCTCAGGATGGCTTTTCCTTGCCGTTTAGCCACATTGAACAGCAGAATGTGTCTAAGCTCTGGGACTTGCAACATTTAGGTGTGAATTCCAGTTTTGTAAGTTACCAACATTATAAAATGGAGCACACCATTCTCTGTGTCTGGGAACTCATGGAGTTGAGAAAGACATGGGCAACTTTCCATTTGGGGGTCTCCTTAGAGACTTAAAAGATCTGAAAATACATATGCTAAATTTTGGATGTTTGGATTTAATAAAGTGATACTTTGACAATAATTAATAGAATGCTGTGTAACTGTGCTATTTCTCATGCTTACAAGATTTACTAAAACCTCTTAGCTCTCACTGCACTGCAAAGGATGGTGCTCTAGCCTTAAGCTGCAGGGTCTTCTTTCATCCCTGACAGTGCATCTTTGTGTCTGTAGGTGACCTCATTTGAAGATAATGAACACAAAGTTGATTTAAGGCCTTTTGTGCATGTGAGGCCTGGGCCAAATGGACTTTGAGTTCCGTTTCCCGGCTTTCTTTGACTCTCAGAGAGAGCCAATACTCATCCACACAGGATATTATGAAGATTCATTACATAATGCTTAAAAAAAAGGGGAAAAAAAAGATAGCTTAGGGAAAAAAAAGATAGCTACTTTTGACTTTGTTAAAGTTCTATTCATTACAAGGCACTTTAATGAAAATAAAAAAGTAAGTCACACCCAGGTAGAAGATATTTTACAATACATATATAATGCAAGATTACCATCAAGAATATATCAATAAGAAAAACTCAAACAACTGAACAGAAAAATGTCAAGAGACTTGCACAGGCCTTCCACAGAGGAGGCAACACAAATTGGCCAATAGTCAAACAAAGAAATGTTCAAAATTATTATAGTGGTCTGTAAAATGAAAATCAAGACCATAAAGATTATATCATTTTACAGCAATTAGATTGGCACAAAATGAGAGGTGGTGAAGAAGATGTGGAGTAACAGGTGGTTAATTGCTGGTGGGGGTGTGCTCAGCACAATTTGGAGAAGAGTTCAGCATTCCCTTATAAAATGGGACACTCACATACCGTATGGCCTAGCAATTACACTCCCATGTATCCACCCAAAGTCAATGTCCACATGCACTGTTGGAGACAAGAAAGGCCACAGTCACACTTCCTGTAGAATGAAATCCTGGAAAGTATCCAAATGACCATTAACAATATGAAGAAAGATATTGTCTACAATGAAATGGATGAATCTTAGCAGAATAATATTGAGTAAAATGAAACATTAAGGGCAACTTCATATGGGCAAACTAATAGAAGATAACAGAGAATATTATACCCTCTTAAAAAGGTATAAAATACACACATACACACATCCAAAGCAATGATAAAATACAAGATTCACTACAGTGGTTGCTACGGGGCGGGGGTGGGGCGGACTCAGAGCATCAGGGAGGAGAGAAGGACATTGTTGTTAAGTCAGCGTTGGTGTTAAGTTTAGATGAGCAGGAGATTTTAGAAAATTAGTTAATGAGTTAATTCAGAAAGAGAGCCATTCCTGGAGAAATGTACAGGTATCCTGAAGCAAAAGTTGTCATTAATCTCATTCTGCTTACTTCCCTACTCTTCCAAAAGTGCGTAAGTCCAGACCAAGCAAGGCAGTGCTTGTCTTCTCACAGGTGCTGACCTCTTCCCTCTTTGCAGGCTACATGTGCCTGCTTATGGCTCAGAAAGGCCAACACACAGCATGGAGCCCTCTGGAGGGTGATGAACCTGGAGATGCATCATTAGAGAAACACTTCCTCATTGTTCCAGCTACCCCTTGTCCATTGGAGGCACTTAGGAAACCACTCACCCTCTGGTGATATTTAGAGTCTTACTCATGAATACAACAATGTTAAAAATCAGTAGCAAAGAATGCAAAAACAAAGGATTTCTTATCAATGCCTATCACTTCATGGTATCTAGTCTAATCTTTTTTAGTACATAGGATGGATTATTTTTATGATACCTTCATTTTACGAACTCCAAGCTGGCTATGGGATCACAAATCTCTCTCTTGCATTTGGATCTCTAAGAAAGAAAAAAAAACTGTCTGCCAGCACTAGACAAATGTTAAGGTTTTTATAACTAGTGTCATAAAAGTGAGTTTATGGTATTGTCAGACAATGAAGTGTGCTGCATATTTTTTTACTGGAAGAAAAGCTCAGATTTACTCTCAAATCCTCCTTCTTTGTGTGCCTATTTGGATGACTATTGGACCTAAATGCTTGTCTGAAATCTGTCCTCTTCCCTACTCCTATGGAGTGGCCCCTTTGCTCCCCTGCTCTCAGACTATGACTTCAGTAATCTTGTGAATCCCTGAGTCCAGAGCAGACCAGGCTGGAGATGGCTGTGCTGTAAGTGAAGATGGCAACTTGAATCCAGAAACTAAAGAACAAATCCAGCAAGTAGGAAATTATGGGCCTAGTATTCAGGGAGGAACAGCCTCTCCCAATCCCAAACAGAGCCTGCTGTCATGCAGTGTGAGCAGCCTGGCAAAAGTGAGGAGACTCCCACTGAGGGAATTCTCCTGGAAGCTTCTTTAGCAGTTGATGGACAGTCACACTTCGAACTTTCAGTTGCTCTTTGGTGACTCAGCTCCATTTTCAGGGAGTATTTGGTAGTGAAGCAATGTTTTAATTGCTGCAAAAGTTAAGGAGGTTGGTATGGAGGGTGACCCTGAATAACTGCTATTATTTTCTCCTTGGGAGTGCTAAGGCTTTTAATGACATGAAACCAGTTTAGGTGGGGAATTGCTTAGAGTGATCACTTGTCCACAGTATCTGAATCGGAGAAGGATTATGTCTTGGTTGGCTCACCTCTGGGACCTACTCCTTCATGCTGACAGATACCATTGTGCCTCTGGAAGGAGACAAACCTGGAGATAAGTCATTAGAGAAACAGTTCCTTATCGTTCTAACTACCCCTTGTGCATCAGGAAATCACTAACCCTCTGGTGATATTTAGAGTCTTAATCATGAATACAACAATGTTAAAAAAAATCAGTAGCAAAGGATGCAAATATAGGATTTCTAATCATGCCGGTGGCCACTAAGATAGGGACAAGTGAAACATTATCAGGCTTTGATGAGGATAATATGGAAGAATTTGGGACGAGAGAGAATTTTATTTATTAAGAGACTACAACACACCATTTTCACAACAGACATGCCTGGCACCCAGTAAGTCTCGATAAATACAGGATTGCTCCTGAATGAGTCATCTATTTGCTGTCTGCCTGAGCAGAGGCAGATAAATCGGAGACAAGGTTCCTGTCATCAGTTAACAGGTTACCCTCCTTGGATTTCATAATGGAAGGGACAAGAGAAATAGCTCCAGGGTTCCTGTCAGGCTTGTCTCTTGATAACCTTCTCTTGGGAAGCAGATTTTCCTGGTGCTGAAAGACGTCACAAAGTGAGAGGAGAGAGGCTGCTTCCATTTCTCTGAGCCACCTGCACCTATCAGGACCAAGGAAAGACTAGACCAAGGATTGGCAAACTCTGACTCCTGGTCAAATCTGACCTACAGCTTGTTTTTATGAAGATTTGTTGGAAAACAGCCCAACTCATTTATTT